TGTAAAATATAAAATATGGAGGTAATTAGCCCCCTATGTTCCAGTATCGGCAATTACTCACAAATAAATCTGGTCTATGACTGAGACCATTATTGGGTGAAACGTGTCAGGGTGAGGAGGATCCACGTCGGGACGATGTGTACCTGTATGCTACAACAACATTTTTCAGTGAAGCTTGTAGTGTGCGAATAGACATTTGTGTAACTCCTGATGCTGGAGCAAGATGGGCTCAGCCGGTGCGCACCTGCCGTTCCCTCTAGCTGCTTTGCGGGGGCAGTGATATAAGGCTATAGAAGTTAGTAAGCCCCCTATGTGATAGCAAAGAGGAAGTGATGGATCCTATTTATGGAGACATCAGTGGTCTATTAGACCCCTAATGTCACCTATGGATCCCACAGAAGCTGATATAGCGCAGATCGGGGTTTAACAGCTTCTTCTCCAGCCACAGCAACCTGAGAAATGTAGCCTGTACTCAGAAGTGATACAATCACCATTACTTCCAAGTTCAGTAAGCGGAGGGGAGGTCAGTCAATGAAAGTAGGCAGAACTCCCTCCGAATAAGCTTCATATACCCACTGTGCAGGTCTCGGGATAGCCAGCAATGGGGGAAGGTGCGGGGTGGGCGTCACCTTTTTAGCAGCATATAAGTGACCAGGCAGCTCTACAGCCACCTGATCATTTGTATGTGAAAGTCAGATGCTGACTGAAAAGCACAGTACAAGCACATACAGTATATATCAGTGGTTAAACATACACATATGAAATTAATATCCAGACAATATTTTGTGAACACACTATAGAGAAGACCAATGCTTATATAACCATGGCTACATTAAATTTGTTTTTGTTTCCTTAATTGGTGGCTGATACTAAAAGAGAAAGTCTGTGCACTGCTTTTTATGTAAAAGCCTTTTCTGCCTTTTAGCAAAAACATGCCGAGGGAAAACACTGATTATATTGTTCAAATTTCTGGAAATGTCAAAACAGCCATCGCTCTTCTACCACCCTAGCTATCATCATCATACCTGTAACAGAGGCAATGTATAACTCCCAACCAAAAGCTTTTTTTGGAAAAGAAATGGCAGAATTAGAATAGCTGTCTGATTTATATTGCTGTGTCCTGATTGCATAGATCTCTCATTTCATGGTTTGGTTACTACCAGGCACACGGCAACAGAAGCTTGATAACTGTTTTAGCCTTCCCTCTCCTTGTAAAACAGCTAAGAAAATTTTGCTGGAGTTCCACTTTAATTAGCATAGAAAATGAGGAGAAATCTCTGACTGGACACAAGCTGCAATGATTATAACATAATGGTTACCAGTACAGAAAGTGAGGGTAAATCTCTGCAATGGGGAAATAGACAGCAATAGAAAACTGACAGGATATCAATGTATTCAACACCTACATCCAGCATTAGTAAAAGGCTTTGTACAGCCACTGAATAAAAATGTTTTTCTATTTCTAGGCTGTATCAAGCCTGAGCTGTTCACCTTTTTGTGGCTCTGCGGATATTCCCTAATCTCAGTGAGTTGTGTGGGAAAGACAAACACTGAGTTATAAATCTGTATCTGACCCAACCAATCTCTGAGGTCCTTGTTCATAGGTATGGTTTGAGAGATTATAAATATTTGAGGCATCTTTCCAAAGGGTTCTCTCTCTCCTCCTGTGCTCTGTCTGGGAAGGTTGTGTAATTAGAGCGTGTCTTCACTTGGGCCTTGCCTCAGGCTGGGGCATGCGCCAGGGGCCCAAGGACTTAAAGTGTATTTCCACTTGCAGCCGTATTTGAGAAAACCCCACCACATGTCTGTTACGTGTTGCTATTTACACAACATATCTAAAAATATTTTTCTTAAGAAAAACGTCTTACTTTTTGGATGTATCTGTATTGCAGGACTTCTATCTCTATTTCAAACTGACAAGGAACTCGGTGTGCCCCCATAGAAATGGACACAATGACCTTCCTCTCATTAACATACTGTACAATGCTTCTAGGTTTTTAACCCTTTTTTTTAGGGCAGACAGTGTTCAAATCTAGTTTACATACGATAATGAGATCTGCCAGCACAGTGCATTGAGGATTAATTATGTTAACATTAACCTACCCACCCTTGTTACATTTCAGTGGGAAATTCAGTACAAAGGAAACATTTTCTTTCAGAATAGGCCTTTTAATATGCAAACAGCAATTTTTATTTTGTAAGTTATGCTTGGTAACAAATAAAATAGATTAAACAAATAGGTGTTATCCCAATCTGGCTGCAAAAGTAGAAATACACTTTAAGCTACCCGCTGGAATGGCTGTGTGGAGGCAGCTGGGCTGGAAAAGGATCTTCTTGCAGAAGTAGCTGGGTTGAAGATACAGTCTTGACATTGTAACAAGGATCCATTGCCCACTGTTCAAGGTGGCTTTGACTACTATCAGAAAGTCAAGGGACAACCTGATTAAGAGAGAGAGCCGCTGCAACGTAAAGGACAGACAGTGCCTGCTATAATACGTTCATAGATCTGCCTGACTGCTCTAACTGGGCCAGCAATTACCTAGATGCTGTTTGTAAAAGTCCTACTGCTACATAAGAATATGTGTCCTCATTTTAGTCTTTTTTGGTTTTCATGCCCCCCAAATCTTCACTCCTGAGTTGAGTTTCAGCAATAAAACATAAAAAGACTAAAGTGACTGGTGCCCAACTTATTTTTCTGCCCCGCCATATATCAAAACCAGACCAGGGATTAAGATATTAATCCCTGGGGGACCAGTATCCCAGCGGTAAGGAGGTGGTACACTTAACCATAAGACTCAAATTCTGGAAACAAAAAAAATATATATATTATGTATTTGTGCGAAAAAGAAAGTGCACCCTTAAATCTATGGTTTTAAGTATCATGACATAGGAAAAATCATCTGGTCCTTAGCAGGTCTTATTTATTTTACAAACATAAAGCCAAAATGGGGAAACCATGTGTGAAAAACTAAGTACACATTATGATTCAATAGTTTGTAGAACCACCTTTAGCAATAATAACTTGATGTAATCGTTTTCTGTATGACTTTATCAGTCTCTTACATAGTTGTGGAGGAATTTTGTCCCACTCTTTACAACGTTGCTTCAGAGGTTTACAGGCATTTGCTTACACACAGCTCTCTTAAGGTCCTGCCACATCATTTCAATCAGGTTGAGGTCTGGACTTTGACTGGGCCATTGCAACATCTTGATTCTTTTCTTTTTCAGCCATTCTGTTGTATATGTACTGGTGTGCTTAGGATCATTGTCCAGTTGCATGACACAATTTCAGCGGTTGGACAGATGCCCTCACATTTGACTCTGGAATACTTTGGTATATAGAGGAGTTCATGGTCGACTCAAGGACTGCAAGGTGTCCAGGTCCTGTGGCTGCAAAACAAGCCCAAATCATGCTGTATTTAGTTTTGCCAAACGCGGCCCTGTGCATTATAGCCAAACATCCCCACTTTGGTCTTGTCTGTCCAAAGGACATTGTTCCAGAAGTCTTGTTGTTTTGTTCAAATGCAACTTCACAAACCTAAGCCCTGCTGCCATGTTCTTTTTAGAGAGAAGAGGCTTTCTCCCGGTAACCCTTTCAAACAAACCATTCTTGTTCAGTCTTTTTCTGATTGTACTGTCATAAACTTTAACTTTTAACATGCTGAGGCCTGAGATGTATCTCTTTTTTTGTGTGCAATTTCTCTGAGCATTGCACAGTCTGACATTGGGGTGAATTTGCTGGGGCGGCCACTCCTGGGAAGATTTGCAACTGTCTCTGAATGTTTTCCACTTCTGAATAATGTTCCTCACTGTAGAATGATGGATGAGTGCATTGCAATAGTTAGAGCTGATGTGTGATACTGAACCTGTCACACGTCGTCTCTATTGATCGAGAACTGAGCAATCACATACCACAGAGCCAGCCGTCAATCAGGCAGCGGGTGGGTCCTAACAGTATTGCTGGGATCTGTACCAGCGGCAGCGCGACTCTGAGCTGTCAGCATATAGTGGGCAATAGCCTGCTATATGCTGATTTTTGGGTCACAGAAGGACATTAGTAAATATGTCCTCCAGTGACCCTAAAGAGTACTGTGGCAAAAAACGGTTTGGCCATAGTTCTCTTTTTTAAATTCTTTGGTAATGGCTTTATAATTCTTCCCAGTTTGATGGGCAGCAACAATTGCTTCTATAAGATCATTGCTGATGTCATGCATCCTTGGCATTGTGTTAACACACACCTGAATGCTCCAGCCAAGCAAACTGCTAAGGGCCGGTTCACACCACAAACTCCGCATTCCAGTGTGTTCGGTCTCTGGTCAATGCCACGCCCTCCGCCCATAGTGCGATCACCCGCACCCGGAATGCAGGCACATTAGTGCCTGTGTTCCGGTCCAGTGCGATCTGCAAAAATACTGCAAGCACTATTTTTACAGATCGCACTGGACCAAAACGCAGACACTGTGCCTGCGTTCTGGGTGCAGGTGATCGCACTCCGGGCGGGGGCATGGCTGCGGTGCCATTGATTTCAATACACCGCCATGTCCCCTCCCGCCCCTGAACGCAGGGAGCCAGTCGGCTTTCGTTCCAGAGGCCGAATGCACTGGAATGCAGAGTTTGTGGTGTGAACCGGCCCTCGAAACTTTGGCTTTTATTGAGGTAGTCACACTTGTTGATGATCAATTAATCAAGGGCATTTGATTAGCAACATGGCTGCTACTTAGCCTCTTAATTCCTATAGAAGCAGTAAGTTTTTAAAATAAATAATGACAGGGGGTAATATGTCATGTGTAGTTGTTCATCTGAGTTTGTCATTTTAAAACCTGCTAACCTGCTATGGACCAGATGATTTTGTTTTATGTCCTGATACCTAAAATTATAGCATTCAAAGAGGATGTATATTCTTTTATGGCTTTACATCAAATAATTAAACACTATTATGTTTTCCTTACACTCATTTGGCTGACTGTACTTTTTATGATTTCTCTTATTCTTCCTTACAGCTCGCAAAACTGGAAAAGCAACAACAAAGGAAAGAAAAGACAAGAACTAAGGTTCCCTCAGAATCTAGAGAGAAGAGCACCCCTTGCCCCAAGGATGACCCCAGTGCAAGCAGTGGAGCAGAGGGAGATGTGTCCTCTGAAAGAGAGCCCTAGTGATTCTGGAAAGAATTCACAGGTGAAATACCATTCATGATGAAAACAAATGATTATACATGCAATACGTGTCCTATATATAGAGAGTATATATATAGCCATAGACAGAACTCTACAGAATGACTGAACTATATAGAGCGACTGCCATCATGACTGCACCATAAAAAGAAACTGCCGCTATGATTGACTGCACCATACAGTGAAACTGGTACCATGACTTTACCATATAGAGAAACTGCTGCCATGCTTTCACAATACTGGATCATACAGTCTGCCAGAGACAGGATCATACAGACTGTCAGAGATTGGTTATGCAGACCTCCATAGACTGAACCATGCAGACTACCAGAGACTGGGACATGCAGATTGCTAGGAACTGGGCAATGCATGGTCTTTTTCCTATTAATAACATTAACAAGCCCAATCTATACTGGCCAGGTGCAAGCTGCCACCATCTCTGTGTTGCTGGATCACACAGACGGCTAGAGATGGGGCCATGCAAATCACCAGAGAGTGAACCATATAAATCACCAGAGACTGAACCATATAAATCACCAGAGACTGAACCATATAAATCACCAGAGACTGAACCATATAAATCACCAGAGACTGAACCATATAAATCACCAGAGACTGAACCATATAAATCACCAGAGACTGAACCATATAAATCACCAGAGACTGAACCATATAAATCACCAGAGACTGAACCATATAAATCACCAGAGACTGAACCATATAAATCACCAGAGACTGAACCATATAAATCACCAGAGACTGAACCATATAAATCACCAGAGACTGAACCATATAAATCACCAGAGACTGAACCATATAAATCACCAGAGACTGAACCATATAAATCACCAGAGACTGAACCATATAAATCACCAGAGACTGAACCATATAAATCACCAGAGACTGAACCATATAAATCACCAGAGACTGAACCATATAAATCACCAGAGACTGAACCATATAAATCACCAGAGACTGAACCATATAAATCACCAGAGACTGAACCATATAAATCACCAGAGACTGAACCATATAAATCACCAGAGACTGAACCATATAAATCACCAGAGACTGAACCATATAAATCACCAGAGACTGAACCATATAAATCACCAGAGACTGAACCATATAAATCACCAGAGACTGAACCATATAAATCACCAGAGACTGAACCATATAAATCACCAGAGACTGAACCATATAAATCACCAGAGACTGAACCATATAAATCACCAGAGACTGAACCATATAAATCACCAGAGACTGAACCATATAAATCACCAGAGACTGAACCATATAAATCACCAGAGACTGAACCATATAAATCACCAGAGACTGAACCATATAAATCACCAGAGACTGAACCATATAAACCACCAGTGACTGGGCCATACAGAGCACCAGAGACTTGGGCCATACAGACTGCTAGAGACTGGCCCATACAGATCACCACATAAAGCTGACATCTACAATATACAGTTTGGAATACATTTATGAGAGCTGTCTTACCTGCCATACTATTTTAATTCTTTTCAGTCACTCTTTTAATAGCATGGCTTGGTTGGTGCAGTTAAATTGTAGTTCAATATCTTGGTTAACACTTCATCCAATACCTCTGTCCCCCTGCCCTCTGTAACCATGTCCAGTAAGGGAAATTGACAGCATTGTACAGTGCTGCCCCCCTCCCCTCCAATTGCTGGTCAGGGGATTACTAGAGGCTAGTATCAAGGCAGATGTGAGTACTTATGGTAATAGTATGTGAAATAGATGTAATGTTTTTAATGGTTTTTAATTAATACATAACTAAATTTTTTAGTATCTGCCTGAAGTTCCGCTTTAAATGTCAGAGTTAATTAAAATATTCAGTGTTTGTCAGGAGGTTGCCTACCTATTTCTGGCATGCTAAAAGCAATACTTGTCCTTTAACCACTTCAAGACCAGGTGTTTAGACCCCCTTCCTGGCCAGGCCATTTTTCAGTGTTCAGCGCTGCGGTACTTTGACTGACATTTATTCTGTCATGCAACGCTGTACTGAAATTAATTTTATACCATTTTTTGGGGACAGATAGAGCTTTATTTTGGTGGTATTTAATCACCACTGGGGTTTTTATTTTTTACTATAATTAGGAAAAATTACAAAATTTTTTTTTTACATTATGTTAGGAAACATTTATTATTACCCAGTTTTTGGTAAACTATAAAAGATCGGGTCACGTCGGGTAAATAGACACCAAACATGTCAAGCTTTAAAATTGAGCGCACCCGCGAAATTGCAGAAAACTACCATACCCAAAATTGGCCATAGGCGACACTTTAAAAGCTTTTACCGCTCATCAGTTTAGTGTTATCAGTGATTGATGGCCCTAGACTTATTGCTCTCACTCCGACGTTCGCGGTGATATGCAACATGTGCGGCGCAATGGGCGCAATCGTCTTTTTCGCACGTATGCGCCCCCGACGCATGTTTGCATGCGTGTATGTATGGGTGGGGACTTTTTTTTTGTTTTTTTATTCTTTTTTATGTGTAACTTTAAATTTGGGGGTGGGGGGAACTTACATTTTTTTTTCCTTTTTTTTCCCACTAAACTTTATTGCTATCACATATGGGGGCTAATAAACCCCCCCCTATGTTATAGCAAAATATGTGACAGGTCCTCTTTATGGAGACATCAGGGGTCTCCAAGACCCCTAATGTCACCTAGGACCCCCCAAAAGAAGCTGATGAAGCACAGATCTGCTCCATCAGCTTCTTTCCAGCTTCTGAAGCTGGAGAGTGACACAAGAATGCGGAAGTGATGTATTATACACCACTTCCGCATTCTTGCAGAGGAGAGGGGACCGGAGGGAGCTCGTGTACCGAGCTCCCTCTGATCCCCTGTGGCACAGGCGACCTGCTGATCCCGGGCTCGCATTTGACCGGACGTCTAAAGACGCCCGCTCAGATCTAGAGAGCTCCGGTTTTTCTACTACAGCCGGCCAGAGGCAGTTAAAGCTAACCTGTACTGAGAGAAATACAGAGACTGCCATTCCAAACCTCGAAAATAGCAGCCCACATGCTTCCTTCTACACGTTTTCTGTACTTTTCATAGTTATGCGTTTAAAGTTATCCCCCTCCCCACTGCTAACCACCCCCCAAGTCTTCCAGAATTGGAAAGCGCCAAAGCTCATTTGCATGCGTCTGGGACCCCCTTACTCCTTTCTTTACCTCTTTACCTTTGTACCCCTCATGGACCAGAGCAATTTTTACATTTTCACCTTAAGCCTGCCCATTTGATGAGATAACTTTGTCATTGCTCTCAAAGTAATGCATATATTGTATAGGGGACAGACTCTTTTCTTTTGGCAATATTGACTTGCAAACATTTTTAAAAATTTTCTTTAGACAAAAATTTTTTTAAAAAAAAGTTTTTTTTTTCTGTTTTGACCAGTGTTTGTTTAAAAATAGTAATTTTGCTATAATAAAAATATACATTTTATTGTATAATCTGTCCTGTTTAAAATGACACTGAAATAATGTTTCTGCTAGAAAGCATGGTCATTCGCAAATGAAAACGTTTAGTTTTTTTTTCAATTTTGCAAATTTTTTTATAGGACATTACAAATTACAAAACAAATAAAATGTAACTTTTTTAATATTAAGAGTAACATTAAAATATAAATATATTAGTGGATTAAATAATAGATGAGAGAAAGGAGTGGTGGCTACTTTACAACATACACAGGGACCATGGAGAACCAAAGTAGTCACCCTCCAGAAGGAAGGATGACTGTCAGCATGAATTCAGAGATGAGTTGAGGATCTACAGCCGAGTGTTACACAAATAAGATATATTTCCGTTAATAGGTACTCAAATGCTTTTTTAAAGGTTGAACTCCTGAGTTTAGTGTCACTTTAAGGCTCTTGCAGAATGGCGCCATTCAGACAGCGATAACATGACCAGTTAGGCCACCTTTATACTTTTCCAGAAGTCTTTCTGTATTATATTTGTTTTCCATTTTCATTCACATCTTCTACAAGTGTCCACTTTCGATCATGGCAAAGAATGGCGGCACTATCAATGAAATGTTATATTTGTATTGCTTACATGAATTTAGCTCTGCTTATGGGGAGGTGTCTTAATATGGTTACAATTTGTCATTTTACTAAGAAGGGTTGGTAATTGTGTGTCCTTATATGTGTATTTCTCTTCCAGAAGACCACCCACCTGGAGAAAACTTCCTAAAGGAACAAAATAATGGTGTTCTTATGGAATACTGCAAAGAATATGCAATATCTGTTTTTGCTTGTTGCCCGTTCAGGCTGCACATTGTCCACAGCAGTCATTCTAGTGTGTGATTTATGTGTGATTATTTATGGTACTTGTTAAACCTAATAAATGTTATAGTTCTCAGTAGGTCCTCTTTAAGCTGATCATAAGCCCAGAAATCTGTTTATCCATAAAAAAAACAGAGCAAGCTCACTTTCATAATGCTGAACTCCAGGCATATATATGAAAAGAAGCCTCCATGTTACCCACTGACAGTGCTTTGCATAAGTATTGAACGCCCACTCTGGACACGTTTTATAGCCAGTAATTAATTGGAATTGTGTCACTAGACAAAATAGCCTAAAATTTCTAAGTAAAAAATTGACAAGGTTTTTCAAATTGTTAACACTTCTTGTTTGCAGAAGTATTCACCCCTTGTTCCATAAAATACCCAATTAAGCAAGTTGCCCTTGCAGGTCACATAATTTGTTGACTGGAATCCACCTGTCTGCAATTAAACTATTTAAAAATAGTCCAGTTTCTGTAAGACTCTAGAGATTGGTAGAGAACACACTAAACATACTAAAACAAAATCAAAGTGAAAAGGCAGTAGGACTGAAAAAAAGTAACAGTGGAGAGCAGGGGGAACAGAGGATGTCATGGAAGCTGCAGAAGAATAATCTATACCTGGCACTGTAGCAGCACCACACTAAGAAATGGATAGGAGCAGAGAGCTGGAGGTGGTCAGGGCAAAGTGAAAGAGTGGTAGTGCTGGGGGGAAATCAAGGCACAGAGGAGGAATGGAAGAGCTACAAATCTTGGCACTGGTTGTTCAGGGCCAATGGACGGGTAGAAGAACTGGGAGAGAATCAGCCACAATGGAGGAGGGGATAAGCTGAGAATTTGTGGAAGCAAAGTGGAAGAGATGGGGGAAATCAGGGCATGGTGGAGATGCTGGAGAAAATAAGGGCATGATGGTGGATGGGTAATTTTAGAGAAGATATGTGACTTGATGTGGAACAGAGGAAGGAAGGAGAGTGAAAGCCTTCCCAGATCAGGCTGGTTTGCTTAACTGCAATGTATTCTGTAGAGAGGTCCAGGACCTGGGGTCCTGTCTATGTTGTCTGGTAGCGATGTCCCACTTTAAAGACTGAGTGAAAAGAGTTGCAATTACATTGGCAGGTAAAACAGTAGACTTATTTTTAAGCTTTGTATTTACCTAAAGTTCAGTTTTGAGGCATAGATTGATGATAATTCCAATCTGCCTAGTCACTCTCTCAGCCCAACATCCTTTTTCTTTGCAGCATGATTAGAGCCATGATAAATCTCCACAGGCCCCTTCCCTTCCATATCTTTCTTTCAGTGCAGGGACTATTTTTTTAACAGAAAGGGGGAAGTTCCTGGCATGCTAATCTATTATAAGCATAACCAGCCAATCGCCATTGAGAAGCCGGCTCCATGTTCCCACGCAGCACTGCCGGTCAGAGGAAATCTCCCTCTAAGCGGAAGTTCCGGTATCGGGGTAAGTATCAGAGCATTTGGGCGAGTACTCTCCCAAATACTCGGTATTGGCACCGATACCGATACTAGTATCGGTATCGGTGCATCCCTAGTCCCGACATACATCACAAACGAGCATGTGGTTGAGGTAACGCCAGTCTTCTTATATTACTACACAACTTACATCGTGTGATTGGGCAACAGATTCTCTGGAACGAAGATTCCAATCTGCCTGACAATAAGCAGCTAAGCCTTCTGCAATTTGTAAATATTACTGTTACTGTATGGTGGACTGACAATAATACAAGTGGAGGACACATGCAACAAATGTAATTGTATAATACACAGATTGCTTTCCTAATATCCATTTAATGTTATTGTTTCAGGGACAATGGAGGACAATGGATATTGCTCTGTAATTAATTTCATAATGGAGTCCTGTTTCTCTAACACTGTGTGTGTGTGTACTTGTATGAAGTTCACTGCTTGTATGCAGCCTTCTGTTTAATAAAAAGCATTATATTTTGAAGGAATTCCTTCTTGTCTTTATTCACATGGACATTTGACGTCTGTGCTTACTAGTGGAAGTGGTTAATTGTAGAGATTTGTTCTGAGGCAAGAGGTGCATTGCCTAAGCAAGAGCGGCAACATAGGCCTTCTGGCAAGACACTTGTAAAGCTGAAGATCCCCAACCTCAAAAGAGAATATTCTGCAAAGTGCCAGATTGTCTTCTTGCTAGATTTGGGATCCTCAGCTCAAGGTTTTCCCCAGAAGGCAAGCCAAGAAGCACAGCCTGCACAGACACCGGGAGTTTCAGGAATCCTTCACAGTGCTGTACTGTGTTCTTGTTAGATGCAGGATCTTCAGCTCAAGCATCTCACCAGAAGGTAAGCTAAGAACCACAGCCTGCATAGACACCAGGAGTTTTAGGAATCCTGTACATTGCTGGATTGTGCTCTTGCTAGATGTGGTATCCTCAGCTCCAGGATCTCACCAGAAGGCAAGCCAAGAAACCACAGCCTGCACAGATGCCAGGATTATGAGGATTGTGTTACCTATGAAAAACATCTCACATAGTGTCTGAATAAAGATGGTACCCTACTGTTGGACAAAAAAGCAAATTAAGGCATTGTCAGGGAGATCTCAGAGAGGCAATTAATGCGTGCAAGTGTTAGACTTATACCACTTTGAGGTGCACCTCCTAAACATTGTAAAAGCTAACAATACAGCTGAATTACAGTGTGCATGTAGTGCCTACAAGTACCTGTTTTATTCCTAAAGTCAGTGGCCAGTAGAGGCCCTGACTGTTGAATAGTGGGGATTGGGCTTAGTGCAGGAAGGATTAAGACTTTTTCAGACATTTTCCAAGAATGGAAAGGCAGTTAAGTTCATTTGTTAAATATACAGCCAGCAGTTTAATCACCATAGTTAATCTTAAAGTTTCTATTCAGTAGATGTCCAGATTGCTTCTCAGCGTCCCCTTCCCATGACAGCTGAATACATTATTGGAGATCTGTATGGGTCAGTGGCATGACAGATAGAGGAATGACACTTAGGGGTCTATTCACGAAGCTGCCGAAGTATCTGGTCGATCCTTCGGCTAGCTTCGGCCCCAGGAACCCTTCGGTTCAGTAGAACCGAAGGGGTGCTGTACGGGCTATTCACAAAAGCCTGTACAGCTACCGATCATGGCCGAGCCGAACGCATATGCATCAGCTCGGCATCTATTGGGCGGAGCTAGCTGTCACTGCTAGCTCCGCACAATCATTTGCTATTTACTTTTTTTACTTTATTCACTCTTTTCCTGTTCTGCTCGATCCCTCTGAGGGGCCGAGCAGAACAGCCGAGCCAAATGCCATCTTTAAGCCGAGCAGCCGAGCCGAAAGGCATCTTTAAGAATAGCCCGAACAGCAGTGAGTAGCCTGCCAGGGGTTCGGCTCAGCCAATCCAGATGTTGGATCGGCTGAGTCACACTCCTTCTGCACTTCGGGTCGGCCGAACATGCTGAGGATGTTCGGCCACACGAAGCAAGCCGATGTACGGCTGATTTCAGCCGATGTACGGCTGAAATTAGCCGTACCAGCCTGAAGTGAATAGCCGAACAGTGTTCGGCTCACTTCACTACAGATCGGTCATTTACTCGGCTGCCCTCTGCAGCTTTGTGAATAGACCCCATAGACTTTTTTGCATTTCTGGAGGTCACCGGCTTCAAAGAGAAAATACTTCAACTAGAGAGTGACAAAGTAAATTCTGTAAACCAAATTGTTAGAGAATATGTATAAAATATGTAACAAAATAATAAAAGTGCAGTTTTAAACCACACAACTCTCAACAGCTACAATCACAGTCCCAGGCAAGTGTAAACATTGCTCCTTTTATATTTTGTTTGTCTGTGTCTGCATTAAACTGAGTACAAGAAAGGCATCTACTTAACACTTCTGAGTTGATGAGGCTGATTTACTAAATAAAATAAAGACCAGAGATGAGCTATAAAATTGGGCTGCGTTCCTACACATGTAAAAGAACATTCACCAGTGTTTGCTGACATGCGTGATCACTATTTATGAACCTAATAAACAGATCATAGTCTGATGTTTAATGTGTACTGTGTTCCCCTAGTTTGGCATACAACATCCAAATAATGTTGCTGTTTGGCATCTGGTCTCCCCTAAGGTGCAATTCTAAATGCACACGATAGAAAATGTTCAAAAAACAAACTGCAATAAAAATAATGTGACAGACTCGCTACATGATAAAATGCACATGTATCAAGCTAAAAGGCATATTAAAAATGCAGTACACTATGCTGTTGTATTAGACGGGCAACATATGTATACGTATTTACCATTGACATCTGTATTTTAAGCACCAACATATAGAATCTTGTACACTGACTGGAGCTTGAACTTCTGGGCATGCACATAAAGATTTGCATATGCGCAGCACAATATCCCCATGCCTACGGTTTACTGATGACTTTTAAAAATGAACCTTTTTTACAGTCTGTTAGCTATAGCCATGCACACTTGTTGAGCACTTATTTCTAAGTGATGCATGTTGGAAAATGCTAACAGCACTCCTTTTATTAAGTTTCCTTTTATTACGGTCACAGGATTAGTAGAATTCTGAGAATTCATTGGGTCATACGGCTGCCAGCAGGAGGAATTGGGCAATGGCAAATAAAAGAGCCCTAGGTATACCACCTTCCACTTCCATGGTGCTTATGTTTATTGATGATATTCTAGGAGGATGGGGATTTCTCCTCACAGAAAAGTTAAACCATTTTCTTTTCTATACATTTTTCTATTATATCAATAATGTTATTGCAGAGTGCAAATGTTTAAAACTGGAGCAACCTGTGTCTGAAACCACTCTGGTTATCAGTCTAGGGTGCCTTAAAGGCTGTAAGACGTTCCCAGTACATTCCCCACTAACACATATTTTGCACAGAGACTGCTAAATGCTTTTGCTGAATAGTATCTATTGGAGAAGGCCTTTACCAAAAAGTGGGCAACTCCTGTAGTGGGCCCAGCCATTCCTTGCTTTAACAAAACACTGATTGTTCCCATTAAGTATGTTCCTGTGTTTACAGACCAGGTTGAGAAAAGACCGCAAAACCTTTCCAAGCCCTTGCTCACCCCGGCAGGCCCTGTCTTTAAACCTGCCATAGCTGTCATGTCCAAT